AACACAAGGATCTGAGTTCAATCCCCGGTTCTGCAGGAAAAAATAAAAGAAAAGAAAAAACATTAATAAAATCAATAAACCGAACTCTGGTGATCACGAATGAAAGCAAGCAAACACAGATAACTCATGTCAGGAATTACAAGGGAAGCATCACTACAGAGCCTTAATCAAATCAGGATTATCTGTAACATGTTCCCCCTGGCTTGAAACACCGGTGACATGTGCTGCGACTGTCTCACTGAATGGCACCGCTGCCAGAAGAGACAGTCATGTGTGTATGGCCCCATCATGAACATGTTAAGGATTCATTGCTTTTATATTACTAGCATACGTTCTTTTCTCCAAGGACTGATTTATTTTCCCCTTTTCCCTGAATTGTATACATTTCTGATACAATGAAATGTCAAGAAACTTAAGTAATAATCTTCAGCGTGGGAGTGAGACTAGTTTGGCATGCTATTGGACATTAGTAACCAATGTGTTTTCCAAGTAACTTATTTGAATGGAGCGAATGTACAAAGACGCTTTGGAAACTACATTTGAAGAAATGAACAATAAAATAGCTGACTTGCACCACTTAAAAAAAAAAATGTAAGTCTGCAAAAGCCTTTAGAGCACCACTGTGTTCTCTCTCAGAATCCCACCCTCCTGATGCCCGGTTTCACACACGCTTCTTTGGTGTTAGTTTCTTGTACTTGGCTGGGCGCTGGCCACAAGCTCTCGGACACACATCTTAGGGACTGAACTCAGGACCTCGCTCTCTCCAGCCGAGTGCTTATTCCGCTGAGCTATCGCCCTGGCCCCAACAGACACGCACCTTTTTGAACCGATCTCTGCGGGCAGGATTCACAGGTAAGCCACACGTGCCAGCACACGCCTGTGATCCCAGCACTTGGGAGCTGAGGCAGGAGCGTTTTCGTGAAATCAAGGTCAGCCTGGGGTGAAGAGTGAGTTCACAGACAGTGTGGACTACACAGAGAGGTGCTGCCTCCGAAATAAATTCACACAGCGAGTGGTTAGGGACGGGAGTGCAGCCCGAGCTCAGCCTGCCGGGCTGCGGCCAGCAGGAGCAGGCTCCCGAGGACACAGGTGGAGAGCAGGAGGGCCTCACTCCCAAGAGGCGGAGCCATCAGGAACACGCTGGCCTGGGTTCAAACCCGTGGGGAAGAGGGGCTTGTGGCTGGGAAAGGCTGGCAGCTGCCTGTAACTGTGAGAACTCTCAATGTCAGGACCGCACATGAGGCAGAGAAACATTTCTTCAAAGCCCTTCTTATTGATAGTGACCTTCTCTTTGATGTTTTTACAGCGAGGCCTGAACTTGGGGCCTGCTGAGCTCCATCTCCAGCCCTTGCTTTATTATCTGGGGACAGGGTTACAATGAGTCATGCAACTGCCTCAGTCTGGCTCCTGTGGGGGATCCCGCTGCTTCAGCCTCCCAGGTCTGGATTAGACCGAGGGCCACCGCAGCCAACTGAGACTTACTCTTTTTTTGTTGTTGTTGGAACCGGGGATTGAACTCAGGCCCTTGAGCTTGCCAGGGAAGCACTTATTCCACTGAGCCATCTCCCCAGCCCCACTTACTCTTTCTTTTTTAACCAAAAGTCTGCTCGATTTTGACTGCATGGCTCATGAGTGAATCGACTGCCTCAGTGTCTTTGTGGAAGTCAGTGTACAAATTCTAGCTATAAAGAACTGGGGTGTGTGGCTCGCTTCAAGACAACTGAGCCCTGGTTCATGATTCTTTGGTAATCTGTGATAACTTACCTCACAGGTGCTCTGTGGGAGGAGGAGGAGAGGACAGAGGTCACCTTTGCCCCTAGGACATCAGGAGACCACAGCCAGCCTGCAACCAGCTAAGCCTGTGTTTTACTGTCACGCAAACCGTGATACCTCTTCTGATACTGACGCGGCCACAGTGTCCGGCGTCCAGGAGCTGCTGAACGTATGCATTTGGTCCAGTTTTCTCAGTGTCAGTGACATACACTCTACCTGTTAGAAAAAGTGCAAAAAGATCGACACTGACAGGTAGCAAAGGCAGCAGTATGTAAAAGGAGAAAGGCTGCAAGGCCCACATGTTCTTCAGGAGGGGTCTCCACAAGCCAGAGTTCTTTACTCAGGAGCTAAGAGGTGAGAAATCTCCAGAGCATTTTAACGCAAAACCCAAGACACAGAAACATGCGTGCAGTGTGCTACTGCTGATTCAAGAAAGACCAAGGTATAAATATATTTTTGCACACTGATTATCTTTAGAGAGAACAGGAACTCTGGCTAGTGGGACAGGGATGAAAGTGAGATTCCAAGAAGGACGGATATTGGGTCTTCTAACCATGTAAATGTTTCCCTAAAAAGAGTGGCCCAAATACAGGTTTACACCTACATTTATAGAAGCAGGAAACAAAATCAAATGAATTAATCTCAGCTTAATGTTGGCAAAATTAAGTAGAAGTTATTTTCAAATTCAAAGAGGTATTATTGTGAAGGACCCGGTGGCGAACGCACCCAGGCGTCCTGCAGGTGCTGAGAGCCCCTTCCTGATCCTCACTTCCAGGTTTTGGTGCTACAATGGGGAGTAGGTTCTGAGCATGCTCTGACCGCACTGGGAACCTAGGAACACTTGGGGGAGACTAGACACCCTCTCACCCAGGAGACTCGGCTCCGCTGCCTGCTGTGCTGAGGTCCAGGCTCTGCCCTGGAGGCCACGGAGGGCCTGGTGCACGAGGGCAGCCGCTCCCCAGGGCCTGAGCACCACTCTGCTGGCTCGTGTTACTTTCCAGTGTCCGTGGACACTGTTCCAGTGACAATCATAACCAGCTCTCATCCGAGCTCACAGGTGAAACCATTCCTTCCAACCCTTACGCTTGGTTTCTGCGAAGTAATACATGGCAGAAAATCAACCAACTGCGTAAGAGAAGACCGACAGGCCATTCCAAGAGGGGACGAAGACAAGAGTGAACAGGCCCAGGAGGCCTGTGCTGTGGGGTGACCTCCCCAGTACCCACGGGGTCCAGCCTCAGGCCAGTGACAGAGAAGCCCTGCCCATCCCTGATCAGGAAGGGGCAGGGAGAGGCACAGGGACACTGCTGGCACAAGAGACTGCGGAGCTGTGGACATCATACTTAGTGCCAGCACAGCTGCCTAGCAGTCCTTGGCTTTGGGTCTCTTGGGTCAGGAGTCGTGGGTCAGGGCTGCACAGCACCTTTGCAGTGGAGCATAGGTAACTGGGACAACGAGCTCAGGCCCAGGGCCACTGTGTCCATTACGCACACTCTGCTCTGCAGGATGGCAGGGCAAGGGACACACTGGGTTCAGGGGCACCTGGTGCAGCATGGATCACACCGGGCACCCTGCTCACGGGCACAGGGACATTTTTCTGACACTGTCTGTGCCCACAGCAGGGCCAGGCATCCAGGTTGCTCCATGTCATTCTTTGTGGAGCAGTCTCTGAGGCTCCACGCCCTCTGATGCTCCTGGTTTTCCCCTCAGGTCCTCTGGGACCACAGAGCTCCTCTTCCCCCTTGCACCGTCAGTGTCCCGCTGTCAATCCCAGGTCCCTTGCAGGCTGCGTTGTGCTGCTGGATTCCACTGCGGCACAGTGTCTAGGAACCCCCAAGGACACTCAGGGCTCCAATTCTCCCCGAGCCCTGCGCTCCGCCTGCTGCCTGTTCTCCTTGCTGTTTCCTCTTTCCAGTTTCTGCCTTACTTTTTGATAGGTTTTCAGTAGCTCACTGAAGAGACAGGAAAGATAAAAACAGCCTTTATCAACTCCACAGACACGAGAGCATCAAGGGCAGATAGGAAAATCCTCTGGCCTAGATGCAGAAAGCGGAGACCTTCGTGGGCTTTCGCTGGGGTGTAGTTTGCAGGGCAGTTTCCCTTGCACGTGAGGAGCTGACTGGGGCCTCTCCTGTCTGTGGGGAAAGGTGAGAGGAGATTGTATCCAGGGCTGGAGTGCGGAAGAGGGAGGAAGCGGCCATGGGGAAGACAAGCTGTTGTTTTCAGGGCTTCAGCCATGCCAGACGACCACCATAATGGTTTAGCAGTTTATACCAGGGCCAGAGCCTGTCACTTTTTCATTGAATAAGTCCTTTTGTGACTATTCTTTTCTCCTGCTGATTGCTAGCTCTCTCAGAATTCCCATGACTCCAGGGTTCACAACATGTTGTTTCACAGAAGGTGACACGCTTGGCCTGCAAACACTAGGAGGATCTGCGCTGTGGGACGCTACACAGATTCAGGGCGGGCAGCAGCTCCAGGAAAACCATGCACTGCATGCAGGGTGGTGGCTTGGGGAAGCTGATTCCTGGAGAGAAGGAACAGAGACTGGCGTGGATCCCAGGTCAGAGATGTCACCGACCTTGTCACGGTGAGCTCAGAAACTATTGCTGTTCACCAAGGAGACCAGCTCCGTGCTCCCCCAGCCCTGCCCTGTGGGGGCCTCTGCAGTCACAGAGGAGGTGAGGACAGCAGCCTCCTGCTTCCATTAGGTTACTCAGTGACTGGTTGCACAGAGCCCTGCGAATATTGCTCTGTTCTAGAGCCCCAAGGATGGCCAGGGGTCCACCCTGAGTTAAGGAATCCATTCCTACTCCTGGAAATTCCAAGGCCTTCTGAAGCTCTCTGCCAGGAGTGGGGACCTGGCCCACACCTGCTGTTGGTTCCGCCTCCTGCCACAGTCTGGTCTGAGAGCTCACAGGGAGGCCAGGCCCAGCTGGACCTCCATAAGTCCTGAGTGAACCAGCGGGGTATGAAGCTGGAGTTCAGTCAGAGAGACCTCTCCTCATGCCCTGGACGCACCCTGCGGGGTCCCTGTGCCCTCCTGACACCATAAGAAGACCTGACCATGGGCCTTTCACTTTCACTGCCTAGCAGAGGCTTGGTTTCTGGGAAGAGGATAGTTTCACTTTCCTGTCCCTGGTCTTTCCATGGCGTGCACTTCCGGATCCTCCCCCTAGCTCTTTGTTCCCCACATTCCTGCATGAGGGCAAAAACCAGAAAGGATTCAGAAGGTGTTTCCTGAGCCGGGGCGCCACCACAGCCAGCACATTCAGCTCTTCTCCACAGGGACATTTTCTCCTAGGAGCTGGTGAGTGAGAAAGTATTTTGGAATTAATGGAGAGGTAAGTACAGACAGATCAGTCAGTCAGAGGATGGAAGAAACTAGATTCTGGATTAGGCGGATGAAGGAATTACCAGCTGAGGAAGGGTGGTGCATGGACAGCTGTAAGACACTGAGACAAGGTGGGCATTGGGACACTTTCCAGGGAACTGCTGAGGGACCCTGTGAAAGACAGGACACTCAGTGAACAGAGTGCCTCATTAGAACTGCTGACAATACACATGCTGGGCTGGAGAGATGGCTCAGTGG